GGAGATTCACCTCTAGACGAGCCACACGGAGATTCACCTCTAGACGAGCCACACGGAGATTCACCTCTACACGAGCCACACGGAGATTCACCTCTAGACGAGCCACACGGAGATTCACCGCTAGACGAGCCACACGGAGATTCACCTCTACACGAGCCACACGGAGATTCACCTCTAGACGAGCCACACGGAGATTCACCTCTAGACGAGCAACACGGAGATTCACCTCTAGACGAGCCACACGGAGATTCACCTCTACACGAGCCACACGGAGATTCACCTCTAGACGAGCCACACGGAGATTCACCTCTACACGAGCCACACGGAGATTCACCTCTAGACGAGCCACACGGAGATTCACCTCTAGACGAGCCACACGGAGATTCACCTCTAGACGAGCCACACGGAGATTCACCTCTACACGAGCCACACGGAGATTCACCGCTAGACGAGCCACACGGAGATTCACCTCTAGACGAGCCACACGGAGATTCACCTCTACACGAGCCACTGAGCCACACGGAGATTCACCTCTAGACGAGCCACACGGAGATTCACCTCTACACGAGCCACTGAGCCACACGGAGATTCACCTCTACACGAGCCACACGGAGATTCACCTCTAGACGAGCCACACGGAGATTCACCTCTACACGAGCCACTGAGCCACACGTAGATTCACCTCTACACGAGCCACACGGAGATTCACCTCTAGACAAGCCACACGGAGATTCACCGCTAGACGAGCCACACGGAGATTCACCTCTAGACGAGCCACACGGAGATTCACCTCTACACGAGCCACACGGAGATTCACCTCTACACGAGCCACACGGAGATTCACCTCTACACGAGCCACACGGAGATTCACCGCTAGACGAGCCACACGGAGATTCACCTCTAGACGAGCCACACGGAGATTCACCTCTAGACGAGCCACACGGAGATTCACCTCTAGACGAGCCACTGAGCCACACGGAGATTCACCTCTACACGAGCCACACGGAGATTCACCTCTAGACGAGCCACACGGAGATTCACCTCTAGACGAGCCACACGGAGATTCACCTCTGCACGAGCCACACGGAGATTCACCTCTACACGAGCCACTGAGCCACACGGAGATTCACCTCTACACGAGCCACACGGAGATTCACCTCTAGACGAGCCACACGGAGATTCACCTCTAGACGAGCCACTGAGCCACACGGAGATTCACCGCTACACGAGCCACACGGAGATTCACCTCTACACGAGCCACACGGAGATTCACCTCTAGACGAGCCACTGAGCCACACGGAGATTCACCTCTAGACGAGCCACACGGAGATTCACCTCTAGACGAGCCACACGGAGATTCACCTCTAGACGAGCCACACGGAGATTCACCTCTACACGAGCCACTGAGCCACACGGAGATTCACCTCTAGACGAGCCACACGGAGATTCACCTCTAGACGAGCCACACGGAGATTCACCTCTAGACGAGCCACACGGAGATTCACCTCTAGACGAGCCACACGGAGATTCACCTCTAGACGAGCCACACGGAGATTCACCTCTAGACGAGCCACACGGAGATTCACCTCTAGACGAGCCACACGGAGATTCACCTCTAGACGAGCCACACGGAGATTCACCTCTACACGAGCCACACGGAGATTCACCTCTAGACGAGCCACACGGAGATTCACCTCTAGACGAGCCACACGGAGATTCACCTCTACACGAGCCACTGAGCCACACGGAGATTCACCTCTAGACGAGCCACACGGAGATTCACCTCTAGACGAGCCACACGGAGATTCACCTCTAGACGAGCCACACGGAGATTCACCTCTAGACGAGCCACACGGAGATTCACCGCTAGACGAGCCACACGGAGATTCACCTCTACACGAGCCACACGGAGATTCACCTCTAGACGAGCCACACGGAGATTCACCTCTAGACGAGCCACACGGAGATTCACCTCTACACGAGCCACACGGAGATTCACCTCTAGACGAGCCACACGGAGATTCACCGCTAGACGAGCCACACGGAGATTCACCTCTACACGAGCCACACGGAGATTCACCTCTAGACGAGCCACACGGAGATTCACCTCTAGACGAGCAACACGGAGATTCACCTCTAGACGAGCCACACGGAGATTCACCTCTACACGAGCCACACGGAGATTCACCTCTAGACGAGCCACACGGAGATTCACCTCTACACGAGCCACACGGAGATTCACCTCTAGACGAGCCACACGGAGATTCACCTCTAGACGAGCCATACGGAGATTCACCTCTAGACGAGCCACACGGAGATTCACCTCTACACGAGCCACACGGAGATTCACCGCTAGACGAGCCACACGGAGATTCACCTCTAGACGAGCCACACGGAGATTCACCTCTACACGAGCCACTGAGCCACACGGAGATTCACCTCTAGACGAGCCACACGGAGATTCACCTCTACACGAGCCACTGAGCCACACGGAGATTCACCTCTACACGAGCCACACGGAGATTCACCTCTAGACGAGCCACACGGAGATTCACCTCTACACGAGCCACTGAGCCACACGTAGATTCACCTCTACACGAGCCACACGGAGATTCACCTCTAGACAAGCCACACGGAGATTCACCGCTAGACGAGCCACACGGAGATTCACCTCTAGACGAGCCACACGGAGATTCACCTCTACACGAGCCACACGGAGATTCACCTCTACACGAGCCACACGGAGATTCACCTCTACACGAGCCACACGGAGATTCACCTCTACACGAGCCACACGGAGATTCACCTCTACACGAGCCACACGGAGATTCACCGCTAGACGAGCCACACGGAGATTCACCTCTAGACGAGCCACACGGAGATTCACCTCTAGACGAGCCACACGGAGATTCACCTCTAGACGAGCCACTGAGCCACACGGAGATTCACCTCTAGACGAGCAACACGGAGATTCACCTCTAGACGAGCCACACGGAGATTCACCTCTAGACGAGCCACACGGAGATTCACCTCTACACGAGCCACACGGAGATTCACCTCTACACGAGCCACTGAGCCACACGGAGATTCACCTCTACACGAGCCACACGGAGATTCACCTCTAGACGAGCCACACGGAGATTCACCTCTAGACGAGCCACTGAGCCACACGGAGATTCACCGCTACACGAGCCACACGGAGATTCACCTCTACACGAGCCACACGGAGATTCACCTCTAGACGAGCCACTGAGCCACACGGAGATTCACCTCTAGACGAGCCACACGGAGATTCACCTCTAGACGAGCCACACGGAGATTCACCTCTAGACGAGCCACACGGAGATTCACCTCTACACGAGCCACTGAGCCACACGGAGATTCACCTCTAGACGAGCCACACGGAGATTCACCTCTAGACGAGCCACACGGAGATTCACCTCTAGACGAGCCACACGGAGATTCACCTCTAGACGAGCCACACGGAGATTCACCTCTAGACGAGCCACACGGAGATTCACCTCTAGACGAGCCACACGGAGATTCACCTCTACACGAGCCACTGAGCCACACGGAGATTCACCTCTAGACGAGCCACACGGAGATTCACCTCTAGACGAGCCACACGGAGATTCACCTCTAGACGAGCCACACGGAGATTCACCTCTACACGAGCCACACGGAGATTCACCTCTACACGAGCCACTGAGCCACACGGAGATTCACCTCTAGACGAGCCACACGGAGATTCACCTCTACACGAGCCACACGGAGATTCACCTCTACACGAGCCACTGAGCCACACGGAGATTCACCTCTACACGAGCCACTGAGCCACACGGAGATTCACCTCTAGACGAGCCACACGGAGATTCACCTCTAGACGAGCCACACGGAGATTCACCTCTAGACGAGCCACACGGAGATTCACCTCTACACGAGCCACTGAGCCACACGGAGATTCACCTCTAGACGAGCCACACGGAGATTCACCTCTAGACGAGCCACACGGAGATTCACCTCTAGACGAGCCACACGGAGATTCACCTCTAGACGAGCCACTGAGCCACACGGAGATTCACCTCTACACGAGCCACACGGAGATTCACCTCTACACGAGCCACACGGAGATTCACCTCTAGACGAGCCACACGGAGATTCACCTCTAGACGAGCCACACGGAGATTCACCTCTACACGAGCCACACGGAGATTCACCTCTACACGAGCCACACGGAGATTCACCTCTACACGAGCCACTGAGCCACACGGAGATTCACCTCTAGACGAGCCACACGGAGATTCACCTCTACACGAGCCACACGGAGATTCACCTCTACACGAGCCACACGGAGATTCACCTCTAGACGAGCCACACGGAGATTCACCTCTACACGAGCCACACGGAGATTCACCTCTAGACGAGCCACTGAGCCACACGGAGATTCACCTCTAGACGAGCCACTGAGCCACACGGAGATTCACCTCTACACGAGCCACACGGAGATTCACCGCTAGACGAGCCACACGGAGATTCACCTCTACACGAGCCACACGGAGATTCACCTCTACACGAGCCACACGGAGATTCACCTCTAGACGAGCGACTGAGCCACACGGAGATTCACCTCTACACGAGCCACACGGAGATTCACCTCTACACGAGCCACACGGAGATTCACCTCTACACGAGCCACACGGAGATTCACCTCTAGACGAGCCACACGGAGATTCACCTCTACACGAGCCACACGGAGATTCACCTCTACACGAGCCACACGGAGATTCACCTCTAGACGAGCCACTGAGCCATGCGGAGATTCACCTCTAGACAAGCCACACGGAGATTCACCTCTAGACGAGCCACACGGAGATTCACCTCTAGACGAGCCACACGGAGATTTACCTCTACACGAGCCACACGGAGATTCACCTCTACACGAGCCACACGGAGATTCACCTCTACACGAGCCACACGGAGATTCACCTCTTGACGAGAGCGATATCGAGGCTGGAGATAACGTAGATTGAGGCAAGTCACGCATCAGTCGACAACTGGATTAGCAGCGGCTGAAGTATGAGCTGCTTTGTGTTTTTCTTGACCAGCCTGCTGTTGGCCAGCTGGTCAACTCTTGGGTCAGCTGACACATGCAGCAAGGTGTCGTCATGCAGCTGCACCTATTCGGACGGTCACATCGACCTCTCGCCTTTAGCTGGAAACCCTGGACCAAAGTAAGTTTCCATTATAGTCTCTAGCCTATCATGTAAAAATGACAGTTATAGCCTCTAGCCCATCATGTTAAAATGACAGTTATAGCCTCTAGCCCATCATGTTAAAATGACAGTTATAGCCTCTAGCCCATCATGTTAAAATGACAGTTATAGTCTCTAGCCCATCATGTTAAAATGACAGTTATAGCCTCTAGCCCATCATGTTAAAATGACATAGCCTCTAGCCCATCATGTTAAAATGACAGTTATAGCCTCTAGCCCATCATGTTAAAATGACAGCTATAGCCTCTAGCCCATCATGTTAAAATGACAGTTATAGCCTCTAGCCCATAATGTTAAAATGACAGTTATAGCCTCTAGCCCATCATGTTAAAATGACAGTTATAGCCTCTAGGCCATCATGTTAAAATGACAGTTATAGCCTCTAGCCCATCATGTTAAAATGACAGTTATAGCCTCTAGCCCATCATGTTAAAATGACAGTTATAGCCTCTAGCCCATCATGTTAAAATGACAGTTATAGCCTCTAGCCCATCATGTTAAAATGACAGTTATAGTCTCTAGCCCATCATGTTAAAATGACAGTTATAGCCTCTAGCCCATCATGTTAAAATGACAGTTATAGTCTCTAGCCCATCATGTTAAAATGACAGTTATAGCCTCTAGCCCATCATGTTAAAATGACATAGCCTCTAGCCCATCATGTTAAAATGACAGTTATAGTCTCTAGCCCATCATGTTAAAATGACAGTTATAGCCTCTAGCCCATCATGTTAAAATGACATAGCCTCTAGCCCATCATGTTAAAATGACATAGCCTCTAGCCCATCATGTTAAAATGACATAGCCTCTAGCCCATCATGTTAAAATGACATAGCCTCTAGCCCATCATGTTAAAATGACAGTTATAGCCTCTAGCCCATCATGTTAAAATGACAGTTATAGCCTCTAGCCCATCATGTTAAAATGACAGTTATAGCCTCTAGCCCATCATGTTAAAATGACATAGCCTCTAGCTCATCATGTTAAAATGACATAGCCTCTAGCCCATCATGTTAAAATGACAGTTATAGCCTCTAGCCCATCATGTTAAAATGACAGTTATAGCCTCTAGCTGATCATGTTAAAATGACAGTTATAGCCTCTAGGCCAACATGTTAAAATGACAGTTATAGCCTCTAGCCCATCATGTTAAAATGACAGTTATAGCCTCTAGCCCATCATGTTAAAATGACAGTTATAGCCTCTAGCCCATCATGTTAAAATGACAGTTATAGCCTCTAGCTGATCATGTTAAAATGACAGTTATAGCCTCTAGCCCATCATGTTAAAATGACAGTTATAGCCTCTAGCCCATCATGTTAAAATGGCAGTTATAGCATCTAGCTGATCATGTTAAAATGGCAGTTATAACCTATAGCTGACTAGAATATTACGATAAACAAAACTGAGCCTTATTTAATACACATACAGTACACAGTTACGAGATTCCATTGACCAGTTATCAATCAGTTATCTTTTATCTTTGTTTTGAAACGTAATCTCGTTAACAAATCCTTGTTACACACCCACTGTTTAAATGTCACTTTTTACACCCACTGTTTAAATGTCACTTTTTAAACCCACTTGTTTAAATGTCACTTTTTACACCCACTTGTTTAAATGTCACTTTTTACACCCACTGTTTAAATGTCACTTTTTACACCCACTGTTTAAATGTCACTTTTTAAACCCACTTGTTTAAATGTCACTTTTTACACCCACTTGTTTAAATAGCACTTTTTACATCCATTGTTTAAATGTCACTTTTTATACCCATTGTTTAAATGTCACTTTTTACACCCACTATTTAAATGTCACTTTTTACACCCGTTGTTTAAATAGCACTTTTTATACGCATTGTTTAAATGTCATTTTTACATCCATTGTTTAAATAGCACTTTTTATACCCATTGTTTAAATGTCATTTTTTACATCCATTTATTAAATGTCACTTTTTATACCCATTGTTTAAATGTCACTTTTTACACCCACTATTTAAATGTCACTTTTTACACCCGTTGTTTAAATAGCACTTTTTATACCCATTGTTTAAATGTCATTTTTACATCCATTGTTTAAATAGCACTTTTTATACCCTTTGTTTAAATGTCATTTTTTACATCCATTTTTTAAATGTCACTTTTTACACCCGTTGTTTAAATGTCACTTTTTATACCCATTGTTTAAATGTCGTTTTTACATCCATTGTTTAAATAGCACTTTTTATACCCTTTGTTTAAATGTCATTTTTTACATCCATTTATTAAATGTCACTTTTTATACCCATTGTTTAAATGTCACTTTTTACACCCACTATTTAAATGTCACTTTTTACACCCGTTGTTTAAATAGCACTTTTTATACCCATTGTTTAAATGTCATTTTTACATCCATTGTTTAAATAGCACTTTTTATACCCATTGTTTAAATAGCAACATCAGATTACACTATGTACACCATCAGCCGTTTACTCCCCAATCATCACACAACAAACTCCCTTTACTCCCCAACCATCACACAACAAACTCCCCTTTACTCCCCAATCATCACACAGCAAACTCCCCATTCATCACACAACAAACTCCCCATTCATCACACAACAAACTCTCCAATCATCACACAACAAACTCCCCTTTACTCCCCAATCATCACACAACAAACTCCCAATCATCACACAACAAACTCCCAATCATCACACAACAAACTCCCCTTTACTCCCCAATCATCACACAACAAACTCCCCAATCATCACACAACAAACTCCCCTTTACTCCCCAATCATCACACAACAAACTCCCAATCATCACACAACAAACTTTCCAATCATCACACAACAAACTCCCCAATCATCACACAACAAACTCTCCAATCATCACACAACAAACTCTCCAATCATCACACAACAAACTCCCCAATCATCACACAACAAACTCCCCAATCATCACACAACAAACTCCCCTTTACTCCCCAACCGTCACTAGTTTACCCCCCCCCCCCCCTTAGGTTTTTTTATATCATTTTTATGTTCATCACGTGATACGTTAACCCCCCCCCCTTAGGTTTTTTATATCATTTATATGTTCATCACGCGATACGTTAACCCCCCCCCCTTAGGTTTTTTATATCATTTATATGTTCATCACGTAATACGTTAACACCCCCCCCCCTCACCTATTCCCCAGATGGCAGGACCAGTACGATCAGTTTTACAACAACAGATTTTCTTACAACCCTTGTACTGGCTTTACTGAGGGCACCTGCAACAATGTAGCGGTAAGATCTGGAACTTTCTTCAGCCGTACCCATACATCCCCCACATAACATACCCTTGACAGATTGTTTTCAGAGCAAAGCTAATAACGTTCTGAAGTAATGCTAGAAGCATATCTCGTGGTATCTTCCATGTGTGCCATCTAACACAAGAGGATGTAGGAAAAGTTTATTTCCTCCACTCACCATTGTCGAGCAGTGTTTCTTCCAGGCTTTTTTCTCCGGGAGGGGGAAGGCACTTGATATTTTCGGGGTAGGGGGCGGTCTACATTTTGGGGGGGGGGGCGAAGAGATGCCTGGAAGAAACTGTTGGCTCTACCGGTCATGGCAATAGCTTTATCGTCAGAGGTCATGATTGTATTCAATAGGTCATCACAGTCATGATTGTATTCAATAGGTCATTACAGTCATGATTGTATTCAATATGTCATTACAGTCATGATTGTATTCAATAGGTCATTACATTCATGATTGTATTCAATAGGTCATTACAGTCATGATTGTATTCAATAGGTCATTACATTCATGATTGTATTCAATAGATCATTACAGTCATGATTGTATTCAATATAGTCATTACAGTCATGATTGTATTCAATAGGTCATTACAGACATGATTGTATTCAATAGGTCATTACAGACATGATTGTATTCAATAGGTCATTACATTCATGATTGTATTCAATATAGGTCATTACAGACATGATTGTATTCACTAGGTCCTCACAAGTGGGACATTACCGTTATGTAGCTAACACGATCATTTGATTGGATCACCACTTAGATCTGTGATTGGATCACCACTTAGATACGTGATTGGATCACCACTTTGATATGTGATTGGGTTACCTATTTACCCCGCCCTCCCCAGGTGTGTCAAATGAACAACGCCATGCAGTATTTTGAATGTGGGACCCAGGAGTCAGCCAACTTCCTCATTGATGACTCCACTAAGTTGCTGGCAGTGGAATACTCAAAAACAGACTCAGCCGGTCTAACGCGGTAGGTCTTTGACTGACGCGGTAAGTTTTAGTCTGACGCGGTAGGTTTTAGACTGACGCGGTAGGTTTTATACTGACATCTATTTGACAGCTATAGCCGTGTTTATCCCATCTATTTGACAGCTAAAGCCGTGTTTATGCCATCTATTTGACAGCTATAGCCGTGTGGTGTTGAACTGCATTACAGCTGGTCCCGATGTCCTGGAGATTCAAGGAGAGGGCGCTACAGGACATTACGTAGGTCACGTGATTTGCTTGGGACGGTCCGTGTAAACTACGCCAGTTAGGATGTATAAAAAAACAACAACAGCTGATGTTTAGGGTGGGGAGTGGGGCGGTACATGTACACACATTTTGAAAGTTCGGAGAAATTAACGCATTAGACCATTAGTTCTTCATTCCACTCACGTTTTTTTGTGTTGTGAGAAATTAACGCATTAGACCATTAGTTCTTCATCCCACTCAAGTTTTTATGTTGGGAGAAATTAACGCATTAGACCATTAGTTCTTCATCCCACTCAAGTTTTTTTATGTTGGGAGAAATTAACGCATTAGACCATTAGTTCTTCATCCCACTCAAGTTTTAATGTTGGGAGAAATTAACGCATTAGACCATTAGTTCTTCATCCCACTCAAGTTTTAATGTTGGGAGAAATTAACGCATTAGACCATTAGTTCTTCATCCCACTCAAGTTTTAATGTTGGGAGAAATTAACGCATTAGCCCATTAGTTCTTCATCCCACTCAAGTTTTTATGTTGGGAGAAATTAACGCATTAGACCATTAGTTCTTCATCCCACTCAAGTTTTTTATGTTGGGAACAAAGAACCCACTGGACAACTTTTCTTGCCAGGGCTTCAAGCTCAGCAGTGTTCACTGCTGCAAACAATCTGGAGGGATGACAATCACTGTTTCAATCTCCGTCGGCTCCGTGCTGGTCATTGTGTAAGTAGTTGTGGTCCAAGGGAAACTACTGCGGTATTATTATCTACTTACTTAAACACGTCAGGATTATAGATCCTAATTTGGTGACACGTTACCACACATTAGTTTGTATGACGATTATAATGGAATTCTTTTTTTCTGCAGATTTTTCGCCGTCCTAATTTTCTACGTGATTGGTGGAGTTTTGTTCCAAAAATTTGCGCGTCACGCGTCAGGCAAAGAAATTCTTCCAAACTACACCTTTTGGTCGGGCTTTCCGTCTCTGGTCAAGGTGAGTCGCGAAGACCAGTCATTTTATTTGACCTTCTGTAGGAGGTATGTCACGTGACTGCCTGTAGCAGGTATGTCACGTGACTGCCTGTAGCAGGTATGTGACTGTCAGTAGCAGGTATGTCATGTGACTGCCTGTAGCAGGTATGTCATGTGACTGCCTGTAGCAGGTATGTGACTGTCTGTAGCAGGTATGTGACTGCCTGTAGCAGGTATGTCACGTGACTGCCTGTAGCAGGTATGTCACATGACTGCCTGTAGCAGGTATGTCACGTGACTGCCTGTAGCAGGTATGTGACTGTCAGTAGCAGGTATGTCATGTGACTGCCTGTAGCAGGTATGTGACTGCCTGAAGCAGGTGTGTGACTGTCTGTAGCAGGTATGTCACGTGACTGCCTGTAGCAGGTATGTCACGTGACTGCCTGTAGCAGGTATGTCACGTGACTGCCTGTAGCAGGTATGTCATGTGACTGCCTGTAGCAGGTATGTCACGTGACTGCCTGTAGCAGGTATGTGACTGCCTGTAGCAGGTTTGTCATATGACTGCCTGTAGCAGGTATGTCACGTGACTGCCTGTAGCAGGTATGTGACTGCCTGTAGCAGGTATGTCATGTGACTGCCTGTAGCAGGTATGTCATGTGACTGCCTGTAGCAGGTATGTCACATGACTGCCTGTAGCAGGTATGTGACTGCCTGTAGCAGGTGTGTGACTGTCTGTAGCAGATATGTGACTGCCTGTAGCAGGTATGTCACGTGACTGCCTGTAGCAGGTATGTCACGTGACTGCCTGTAGCAGGTATGTCACATGACTGCCTGTAGCAGGTATGTCACGTGACTGCCTGTAGCAGGTATGTGACTGTCAGTAGCAGGTATGTCATGTGACTGCCTGTAGCAGGTATGTGACTGCCTGAAGCAGGTGTGTGACTGTCTGTAGCAGGTATGTCACGTGACTGCCTGTAGCAGGTATGTCACGTGACTGCCTGTTGCAGGTATGTCACGTGACTGCCTGTAGCAGGTATGTCATGTGACTGCCTGTAGCAGGTATGTCACATGACTGCCTGTAGCAGGTATGTCATGTGACTGCCTGTAGCAGGTATGTCATGTGACTGCCTGTAGCAGGTATGTCACGTGACTGCCTGTAGCAGGTATGTGACTGCCTGTAGCAGGTTTGTCATTTGACTGCCTGTAGCAGGTATGTCACGTGACTGCCTGTAGCAGGTATGTGACTGCCTGTAGCAGATATGTCATGTGACTGCCTGTAGCAGGTATGTCATGTGACTGCCTGTAGCAGGTATGTCACGTGACTGCCTGTAGCAGGTATGTCACATGACTGTCAGTAGCAGGTATGTCATGTGACTGCCTGTAGCAGGTATGTGACTGCCTGTAGCAGGTGTGTGACTGTCTGTAGCAGATATGTGACTGCCTGTAGCAGGTATGTCACGTGACTGCCTGTAGCAGGTATGTCAAATGACTGCCTGTAGCAGGTATGTCATGTGACTGCCTGTAGCAGGTATGTGACTGCCTGTAGCAGGTATGTCACGTGACTGCCTGTAGCAGATATGTGACTGCCTGTAGCAGGTATGTCACGTGACTGCCTGTAGCAGGTATGTCACGTGACTGCCTGTAGCAGGTATGTGACTGTCAGTAGCAGGTATGTCATGTGACTGCCTGTAGCAGGTATGTCATGTGACTGCCTGTAGCAGGTATGTGACTGTCTGTAGCAGGTATGTGACTGCCTGTAGCAGGTATGTCACGTGACTGCCTGTAGCAGGTATGTCACATGACTGCCTGTAGCAGGTATGTCACGTGACTGCCTGTAGCAGGTATGTGACTGTCAGTAGCAGGTATGTCATGTGACTGCCTGTAGCAGGTATGTGACTGCCTGAAGCAGGTGTGTGACTGTCTGTAGCAGGTATGTCACGTGACTGCCTGTAGCAGGTATGTCACGTGACTGCCTGTAGCAGGTATGTCACGTGACTGCCTGTAGCAGGTATGTCATGTGACTGCCTGTAGCAGGTATGTCACGTGACTGCCTGTAGCAGGTATGTGACTGCCTGTAGCAGGTTTGTCATATGACTGCCTGTAGCAGGTATGTCACGTGACTGCCTGTAGCAGGTATGTGACTGCCTGTAGCAGGTATGTCATGTGACTGCCTGTAGCAGGTATGTCATGTGACTGCCTGTAGCAGGTATGTCATGTGACTGCCTGTAGCAGGTATGTGACTGCCTGTAGCAGGTGTGTGACTGTCTGTAGCAGATATGTGACTGCCTGTAGCAGGTATGTCACGTGACTGCCTGTAGCAGGTATGTCACGTGACTGCCTGTAGCAGGTATGTCACATGACTGCCTGTAGCAGGTATGTCACGTGACTGCCTGTAGCAGGTATGTGACTGTCAGTAGCAGGTATGTCATGTGACTGCCTGTAGCAGGTATGTGACTGCCTGAAGCAGGTGTGTGACTGTCTGTAGCAGGTATGTCACGTGACTGCCTGTAGCAGGTATGTCACGTGACTGCCTGTAGCAGGTATGTCACGTGACTGCCTGTAGCAGGTATGTCATGTGACTGCCTGTAGCAGGTATGTCACATGACTGCCTGTAGCAGGTATGTCATGTGACTGCCTGTAGCAGGTATGTCATGTGACTGCCTGTAGCAGGTATGTCACGTGACTGCCTGTAGCAGGTATGTGACTGCCTGTAGCAGGTTTGTCATTTGACTGCCTGTAGCAGGTATGTCACGTGACTGCCTGTAGCAGGTATGTGACTGCCTGTAGCAGATATGTCATGTGACTGCCTGTAGCAGGTATGTCACGTGACTGCCTGTAGCAGGTATGTCACATGACTGTCAGTAGCAGGTATGTCATGTGACTGCCTGTAGCAGGTATGTGACTGCCTGTAGCAGGTGTGTGACTGTCTGTAGCAGATATGTGACTGCCTGTAGCAGGTATGTCACGTGACTGCCTGTAGCAGGTATGTCAAATGACTGCCTGTAGCAGGTATGTCATGTGACTGCCTGTAGCAGGTATGTGACTGCCTGTAGCAGGTATGTCACGTGACTGCCTGTAGCAGGTATGTCACGTGACTGCCTGTAGCAGGTATGTCATGTGACTGCCTGTAGCAGGTATGTCACGTGACTGCCTGTAGCAGGTATGTGACTGCCTGTAGCAGGTATGTCATGTGACTGCCTGTAGCAGGTATGTCACGTGACTACCTGTAGCAGGTATGTCCAGCCGTTCACCCAATGTCTGGTCCACAGGATGGCACGTTGTTTGTCTTCAAATGTGGAAGAGCTAAGACTGGCTACAACAGCATCTAACCAGTTACGGCCGGCTACAGCAGCATCTAGATCTTACGAGTTCTAACCGGCAGCAGCAGTGCCTAATCAGTTGAAACCATCTAACCAGTTGTAAACCACCTAACCAGTTCTAAACCACCAAACACTGATTGAAACAGATAGATCGCAAAGGATTGTTTGCCGGATTGATATCTCTTCAAATAAACCTGACGTTTGACTTTTAAACTGACATCTGACTGACGTAAATTATACTGACATCTGACGTATATTATACTGATGTTTGACAATTTAATTGCTTGTTTCATTCATGTAAAATCGTAATTACAAAATTTTGAAACTTTAAAATGTTTTTTCTTGACCAAATCGCGTACCAATGTATTAAAAATACTATTTGTAACAAAAAGTTTTCCTGTTATTTTATTCTCACACGCTACCACCGGGAGAATACCAAGGGAGCGTTCAGCTGAAACAGGGCAGTTAATATGAATACCAAGGGGGGTGGGGGGGGGGTGGGGGGTGGGGGGTTTCAGCTGAAACTTAGGGCAGTTGATGAGAATACCAAGGGGGGGGGGGGGTCAGCTGAAACTTAGGGCAGTATAAACCTTGAGTTCGTAAAAAACATCTTTGATAATAACGATTGGTAATCTACCTTTGCATACAGAAATAAAAAAGTATGTTTCTCTTCATTTCTCAACCTTTGGGAACTTGTTGAGAGAGTTACCAGAAAGATGCGCAACGGGAAAAAAAAGCGCACGCAAATTTGCGCACACAGAAAAATTGGCAAAAAGAAAAAATGAATATATTGGAATGAGAATGAAATGTATACACACATACACAGACCAGCTTAAACATGCAAGCATAAACATATACACACATATATATACACACATTGTCACACTCATAATTGATGAAAAATCTGTGTCATTTTCTGTGTGCATGATTTTCTTATTTGCGCTTTTTTTCTGTGTGCGCAATTTTCTGTTTGTGCATTTTTCTGGTTGCGTATTTTCCTCTTTGCGCATTTTTCTGTGTGCGTAATTTACTGTTTGCGCATTTTTTCCGTTGCGAATCTTTCTGGGAACCGTTGAGGAAACGATTTGGGAGAATTCTGCGAAAAAAGAAATAATTCGAAGGGGCGACATTTTGACGCCCCGGGATACCCCGCGAGCACTATGACGCCTACATGTATTTTAAACAGCACAATATGACGCCTACATATATTTTAAACAGCACAATATGCTAGGGACACGGTGGCACATGCCATTCAATAATTAAGCCTAACTGTGGGGCCGTACCAGGCGCCCCTCTGGTAGTATAACCGGTGGCTCCCCTGAGCGGCCCGCCACGCCCCTTACACATGGGCGGTCGCCGAAGCGTGTACTCAGTATTGTGGAGGGTGACTCAAGACGTTCATACAGCAGCAATGGGGCGTCTGGGCGGTGGCGTGGACAAACCAGCGCCATAACAACTCGGATCCAAGAGATATAGCGCCATAACAACTCGGATCTAAGAGATATAGCGCCTGTTTTCTTTTCAGTTAAATAACCCAGTTTTAGAAAACGAGGTCACACCTGTAAAAAAACTCAACTGGTAACGCTTAGATGTAATCTTATTCAGGTATTGCGTCAGCCCGCAGCAGCCTTCGGGACGGGGTCGCAAATGGCAAATAAAGACCTGTGGCAAACTACAACATTAGACTACATGGCATCAGCCTATTGGCAGAGACGTTAAGACCTGTGGCAAACTACAACATTAGACTACAAGGCATCAGCCAATTGGCAGAGACGTTAAGACCTGTGGCAAACTACAACATTAGACTACATGGCATCAGCCAATTGGCAGAGACGTTAAGACCTGTGGCAAACTACAACATTAGACTACAAGGCATCAGCCAATAGGCAGAGACGTTAAGACCTGTGGCAAACTACAACATTAGACTACATGGCATCAGCCAATTGGCAGAGACGTTAAAGCCGCCAAAAACCTGTAGCAAACTACAACATTAGACTACAAGGCATCAGCCAATTGGCAGAGACGTTAAAGCCGCCCAAAACCTGTCTCTGGTGGAGTAGCTGCAGCCCTTTGGATCAACAAAGGATAAGACACAGGGACCCATTGGAAAGTATAAAGTATATAAAGTAATCATACTATTTGATCAGTTTACTAAGTCTGGAAAAAATGGGAGATAATTACAGCAGGTTGAGAACAAAGAAACAATTCTAATTGTACGCTTATGTCCCTTGTCAAATCAACCATTGGCCCGGTAATCAGAGGAGCATGGGCGGATCACGGAGCTCTGACGTCACGGACTTACCTCATACTTAGATAACGTTGAGATAAACTTCAGCGATAAAACACAAAGAGGGTACAGTGTAACCCTGGTACAGTTCTGGTACAGTGTAGCCCTGGTACAGTTCTGGTACAGTGTAGCCCTGGTACAGTGTAGCCCTGGTACAGTGTAGATTTGTCTGGTACAGTGTAGCCCTGGTACAGTGTAGCCTGGTACAGTGTAGCCCTGGTACAGTGTAGCTTTGTCTGGTACAGTGTAGCCCTGGTACAGTGTAGCCCTGGTACAGTGTAGCTCTGGTACAGTTCTGGTACAGTGTAGCCTTGGTACAGTGTAGCCTGGTACAGTGTAGCCCTGGTACAGTGTAGCCCTGGTACAGTGTAGCTTTGTCTGGTACAGTGTAGCTTTGTCTGGTACAGTGTAGCCCTGGTACAGTGTAGCCCTGGTACAGTGTAGCTCTGGTACAGTGTAGCCCTGGTACAGTGTAGCCCTGGTACAGTGTAGCTTTGTCTGGTACAGTGTAGCCCTGGTACAGTGTAGCCCTGGTACAGTGTAGCCATGGTACAGTGTAGCCCTGGTACAGTGTAGCCCTGGTACAGTGTAGCTTTGTCTGGTACAGTGTAGCTTTGTCTGGTACAGTGTAGCCCTGGTACAGTGTAGCCTTGGTACAGTGTAGCCTGGTACAGTGTAGCCCTGGTACAGTGTAGCCCTGGTACAGTGTAGCCCTGGTACAGTGTAGCCTTGGTACAGTGTAGCCTGGTACAGTGTAGCCCTGGTACAGTGTAGCCCTGGTACAGTGTAGCTTTGTCTGGTACAGTGTAGCCCTGGTACAGTGTAGCCCTGGTACAGTGTAGCTTTGTCTGGTACAGTGTAGCCCTGGTACAGTGTAGCCCTGGTACAGTGTAGCCCTGGTACAGTGTAGCTCTAGTACAAACAAGTGAGCAGCTGGCACTGAATAACAAAACAAGAACTGCTTGACATTTCGTTGGCCATTTTGTTTGACTAGTAATAGATGCTTCTAAAAAGATAGTATCAAAACATCTGATCAAGTGTCTTAGTTGTTTGAGTAATTGCTGGTTGGGTTGGTGTTTTAGTACAAAGTTTTCTACGCCCACTAGGCCATATGAACAGAGCCGGCGTTAGGGGGTGGCGAACGGGGCGGTC